GCGTGAACCGATCATGCCTCCATCAACTCCGTGGACACGCCTTCCAACTCTTTGGGAAAGAGAGTTTATTTCAATACGGGTGAAAGATGCATGACAAATATAATTGCCAAAGTTTTATTTCATTTCCAACAAATTAGTCTAGAGCATTTTTGGTGTAAACAACTAATCAGATAGACAAAAAAGGGGTAAATGAAATAACAAGGACAGAGAAATGTTCTGAGCAATTCATTAGTGGAGAGTGAATCCTCCCCTCTACCCTCCGATAAGGAATATATATTGTTCATCACAAGGATATCTCTGACCCCAATAACAATGTGGTAACAATACCATCTAGTCCACTGACCGACGTTGCTGTAGGTTCGACTACCCCCGCGGGCAATCTTTCAACTAGAAAAAAAAGTTGACCGACATAGGTTCGACTACCCCCGCGGGCAATCTTTCAACTAGCCGACGTTGCTGTAGGTTGTTGACCTCATTTTTAGTGAGGTCTTAGTCTTCTACTCTTAGAACCTAGAATCTAGCCGTTGGTGGTGGCAGAGGAGACTTTTCATACTTCTCCAACTCTAGAACCTATCATTGATGTAACGGTTGGCAATCTCGTGGAGTGTCCAACCAAGGGGTGCCCCAGCTTCAAGTCCTACACTCTACCCTAAGTGAGCTTTCTACTGCGGCCCTCCCACCTCATCAAATCGAGCAAGTTGTTATTGTCATTCAGGCACAAGGGGCTCATGATGTGCAACAGCCTACTCTTGCCGGACAATCTTTCTACACATGCCCGACAATCTTTGGACCAATCCACAGATCATATGAGCCAGTTCTCGGACGAGGAATGATATGTTTACACATCCAGGATGAAGAAGAATAGCGGTCTACTAGAACTCAGGAACTTATTGGATGATACATTGGTTGTTTCGGGTAAGAATAGCGGTTTACTAGAACTCAAGAACTTATTGGATGATACATTGGTTGTTTCGGGTAATAGCAGTAGACTTAACCATTTGTTAGCTGGCTCTATACCTTGAACCAGAGGTAAGAGATAAGGATACATTGGGTTGTTCTCAAGCTCCCATTTTGTGTTTGAATCTCTGAGTGGAGACTTTCCAATTAGCCTAGTCATCGCTAAGCCACCAATCTGAAATCTTTTATGTTGTTTGGGTTACTCAGCTTGTTGTTCATATGCTTGGTTGCCAGCTATAAGTTTTGCCTAGACATCTTCGAGCATCTATTCAAATTTATCTACCATTTTGGCAGTAGGTATAATCTTTGGTTTGGGTAAAATGGTTTTCTATGGCATGATCAGGCTGTTTTGTACAAACAATACTAAATGGAATTTTTCCCCTGGAACTGCATGGAATTGTAGGCAAATTTCGCTTGAGCCAGGAATTCACTCCACTGTTTGGGTTCTCCTGCTAAACAGCAAATTACGTTGCTGAGGGTCCTGTTGATGACTTTGGTTTATCCATCGGGTTGGGGATGATAAACAGCTATATTTCAATTCAGTTCGCAATCATCTCCACAAATCTCCTTAAAAACAGCTCATGAACTTGACATCACGGTCAAAATTTATGCTACGGGGTACTCCGTATAAACGAAAAACTTCTTTGAAAAAAACTTTAGCCACATTAATTGCATTGAATATTTTTTGCAATCCACAAAATATGTTATTTTCAAATATCGGTTGACTACTACCATGACCGAGTCGGAACCTCTACTTGTTTGAGGTAATCCCAAAACAAAATCAATTCGTAGATACTCCTAAATAGAATCAGGACCTGGTAGAGGAATATATAATCCTGTGTTTTTCTCTGCCCTTTAAATTTTTGGCAAGTACGGCATTTTTCTACAAATCTATAGACGTCACGATGCAATTTTGTCGGAAAAATAAAAGAAAAAAAGAAAAAAAGAAAAAAAAGAAAAAATTATAGACGTCACGAAGCAATTTTGTCGGAAAAGTAAAAGAAAAAAAGAAAAAAAAGAAAAAAAAAAGGGTTTGTAAGATGGGGAGCATCTTATCACGCCCTGTGTGAGCTGCTAGACTCACGCCCTGCGTGAGCTGCTAGACCTCCATTTACCCAAGAAATGTACTTTTTCATGGCAAACGCACATTTGTTAAGGTTGATATATGACTTGTGGTCTCTTAATGCAAGAAATATGAGCTTTAGGTGATGTATAAGATCATCAAGGTTGTGGCTGTAGATTAAAATATCATCGAAATAAAAATACGAATATCGGAGAAATGGTTTCAATAACTTATTCATGAGTCGTATGAATGTAGTGTGTTGCACATTCCAAATGGCATAACTTGCCATTCATAGAGAGGCCTCTCTAGTATTGAAGGCTGTTTTCTATTCATCACCCGCTCGAATGCGAATTGGTGATAGCCACTTCTTAAATCCAATATAGAGAAAATGCAAGTGTCAGTTATCCGATCTAAATATCTTCAAGTCAGGGTATTGGGAACCGAAACTTCATTAAAATTTTATTTTTAGCTCTTCTATCTATACACATACGCCGTGTTCCATCTTTCTTGGGAACGATTAAAGCAGGGACAACACAAGGGCTCAAACTATGCCTGATCAATTATTTTTGTATAAGATCATCCACGATATCTTGTAATATTTTGTGTTCCTTTGGAGTCATCCGGTAATATGGCAAATTGGAAAATTTGATTCTAAAACAAAATCAATTTGATGTTTTATAGATCGTATTGGAGGTAAATGATTTGGTAGCTCACTTGGTGATATATCAATAAACTGCTGCAATAGGTCTGTAATGGCCGTTGGAATTTCTTGAAGTTTAGGATGTCTTTCAGCTACCCAGATGGCAAGTATGCTCTTCTCAGCTCTATATGGTGTAATGAGTTGAGACCCGGAAACTCTAATATATGCTGATTTCTCTACATGGATGGGTTTTTTAGTTGGAGGCGATGGAAGTAAATGGATTTTTCTAGCTTGTCCATTCAAATGAGTATGAATTAGCCCGACAATTATACCCCACATTCACATCAAGTTGCCATGGCCTTCCCAAAATTAAGTGACAAACATCCATATCAAACACATCGAAAACCATTTCACATATGAAACTTTTGCCAATGGAGAAAGTTACCTTGCAAGTATCTGTCACCAACTCTTCCACTCCTTTCTTAACCCAACTTATTTTGTATGGTTGAGGATGCTTGGATGTCTTCAGTTGTAAGTCCTTAACCACAGTAGTAGCAATGACTTTTTTGATGCAACCACTATCAATTATGAGTTCACAAACTCTACCACTAATCATAAGCCTTATTCGAAAAATGGCATTCCTCTGTGTAATAACTGGTTGCTTGGGAGCTAACAGCACCTTTTCTAAAACACAAGATACTAACTCACCTTCATCACCGGGGAGGTCTTTGAGTTCCTCATTAGAGAAAGGAAATTCTCCGTCAGTTGCGTCCTCAGTTTCACCTTCAGTTAATTGCACTTGACGACGGAGTGGGCATTCATTCGATCGGTGCCCTGGTTGAAAACGCCTAAAACACTTGGAAGGTTCGGACGAGGATAAATTTGATCTCGATTTGCAACATTTTTCTTTCAAGCATCCCGATTAGTTTGAGATTGAAGGGGGCTCTGTCTATTTTGCACAGTGCCTTTTGCTGTTTCTGTGCTTTGGTCATATGAGATTTGACGGCCTGTTGATTGCTTATTACTCCGATTAATCTGTAATTCAGCTTTGCAGGCATGGTTAACTGCTTAGGACAACGACCACACAACTTTCATTTCTAATTTATCCTGAATTGATTCATTGAGGCCACCGATATATTGAGCCACAATCTGTTGGTTTGATTCATTGAGATCATTTCTAGCACTAAGACGATAAAACTCAGTGTATGTGCTAATTGTCGGTGTTCCTTGCCTACAATGTTGGTATTGGACATAGAGTAATTGCTCATAATCAGATGGTAAGAAATGGCCCCTCATAAGCTCTTTCATTCTAGCCCAACTCCTTGCAAATTGTTGGCCTTCCCTTCGACGAGATTGGACTAGTCGCTGCCACCAGGCTACAACTTCACCTTTCAGTTTGCAGGTAATGTATCGGACTTGTTTGTTTAGTGTAATATTCATATATTTGAAAAAGGATTCCACTGAGTGCTCCCAGTTGAGATAACCTTCAATGTGTAAATGACCATCAAACTGAGGAATATTAATTTTCACTCGAATATCTTGGCGTGATCGACCGTGGAATAGTGGTTGCCTGTTGCTTTGATCTGTGACTAAAGGTTCATCACCCGATCCAGAATCCGAATAGGTAGCTCTTTGATGAGACGGAAATTTTTCTTCATCAGATTCAGCTAGTAGATCAAGTCTTTCGGATCGTCTCCAGTCTCGATGACTGTGACTTTGTTGTCCACTCCTGGTTTGGTTGCCTGGGTAGCTGTGTGATTGCCAAGCATGGCCACTCCCAATAGCGTGAAGCTCACAATGTACCTCTATAATCTAGCTTGTGGATCAGCCTCTTCTTCCTTAGATCTCTAAATAAGAATAGTAAATTAGTTGCTTAATAAAACGAGAAAATATAACTTGTTAATTAGTATATGGGAGTTTCCATCTACAATAGATGATCTAATTATAGATTGAAGTAGTTTGGGCACATTCTAGAGAGCAGGAATTGAACTGATATATATGGATTATAAAATTTATATGAAAAAATTAGGAAGGAAGATGATTTAGGTGAGAAGATTTGAAGGCGTGCATGTAGATTTACATAAATTAGAATCAACACCACATACAACGTTTAGCCAGGAGGGCTAAGGAATAAGAGGCTGAACCCAATTAGTTGGAATAAGGCTGGTGGATGAGATGATGATAATAATGTTTTGAGACATCCGTTGTACTCTCTTAAATAAAATGATGATACCTGATTACTCAAGGTATTGATCTTGATGAGATTTCATTTATCTTGTCTACATTAACTTTTTGTATTCTGACTCCTCATCCTCCTGGCAGAAAAAGGTTGTTTTTCTTGGTTGGTCTACTGTTAAGTCTTTTTAATGGCTAATAATCTGTAGAACATTATTTCCCTTGTAATTTTTATGGGGTGCATACTCACCCAGATGTGCCAAGCAATCTTGTTTTTAGTATATTTCCCATTTGACATCTTATCAAATCATATAAGAAAGATTCTTCATACCCGAAGTTGGCATCAACATTCTTATGCACATCCCACAAAAATTTCATGATAGACTTTGATGAATGCACCTCTGTGCAGGTGAATTTGTGACAACAGAAGAGGCGCGAAGACGTTTACATGCATACGATGAGCTTGCGTCCACCCGAAACTTTTCGCCTGCACTTTTGGTTGTTCGGGAGCATCTTCCATCTGGTAAAGCTTGCCTGAGGGTCAACATTGATGCAACCGAGATCGGAAATGTAGCTCGCTTCATCAATCACTCGTGTGACGGCGGCAATCTGATGGTTGTACTGGTGAGGAATTCTGGGTGTTTTCTTCCCAGGCTTTGTTTCTTTGCTGCTGTAGATATTTCAGAAGGCGAGGAGCTCATCTTCAGCTATGGGGATGCTCCCCGAAGGCCAAATGGCCTGCCTTGCTTTTGTGGAAAAGAAGAATGCATGGGTGTTCTGCCCTCTGAGGAAGCGTGATGTTGTTGGTGCATTTCATCATATGGTTGAACTTCAGATTCACAAAGAGAAACAAGCCAGACAATCACCATTTTAGACGTGGCTGTTGGTCTATCTCAGTGGAAAATATTTGCGTACATAAGACGTACGCTTATTCAGGGG